CCCCCCCCCCCCCCCATGCCAATAGTCAAAGATCCTTCCGGCTCTTAGAAGACCCCCATATTGACTGCAAGGTCAGCATCTGATCTTCTGCCAGAGGATGTGGGTCTGTGTGGACAAACTAGAGCATCGCTTTGAGCTGATCTTCTCTAATGATGCTTGGAGCGACTGAATCGAGCCCCACCAAATGCTACTGCGAATGTGTGCTTTTAAACATACGGAGAGTTCATGTGTATGTGATGAAAGACTGTGGGCCGTGTCTTAGAGTTTCTTTGAGGGTTTGTTTATGTGTGTTTGAGAACTGTGCTCAAATACTCCGAGGAAGAAACAGCCCAGGAAGCACTGCTCTCTTGTCAGGGTGAGTTTCAATGATGTGCCATATTATATCCCTAGAGCTGTTGGAAGCAGAAGTGGGCCATTGCACTCAAGGTTCAAGAATCTGAAACTTCAGCACAGGAAGTTACATCACAGACCACTTTTAATGCGATATAATGAACGTGCTATGAACAGAAAACAAGCTTCTGGCTACTATACTAAAATAAAGGTTCTTTATTGGCATCAGTTGTTCCGCAAAGAGCCTTCAACATTCATGGAATCTTTCCATTGCACAAAATGTACTTTTTAGTGTTCTATTTTGGTTCAATATTGCAAAGACAAACATATTTTTGTGCACTGGTGAATAATGCTTATGATGTCTTGTTGCATGAATATTTGTTGTCATCAATGTTGCTACTTAATATTTTGTGGAAAATGTAATTTTTTCATGATTTTTGATGAATCGAAAGTTCAGAAGAACACTATTTATTTGGCATAGAAATCCTTTGTAACATTATAAATTTGTTTACGGTCACTTTTGATCAATTTAATGCATCCTTGATTGATTAAAGTATACTTTTATATTATAGATTAAGATAAGAAATCTGGCTGCCACAATGAGAGAGATAACAGTACAGTAAGTGTTAGTCTTAAAAGTGAAGGTTCTTTATTGGCATTCACTGGTACCATGAAGAACCTTTACCATCAATCAGTGTTTCCCACAGGATTTTGTGAGACTGTGGTGGGTGGTCCTCGACCCCTCTATGGGGGTCCGGGGGCATGCTCCCCCATAAGAAAATTTTGTACATTTTAAAGTTAAATTCATAAATCTGGTGCACTTTGAGAGTTCAAAATTAAGAGCTCCAACACAGGTTCAGTGTGCAAACTAAAAGAAAAAAAAGCTGGTGAATGTACTTGTTCTTGAAATGGGGACTCAACCCCCTTTTTAGTAGATATAGTGTCTCAGTCTCACTGGTGAATTTGGAAGCCAAACAAATTAGAATAAAATAATAATTGTATATTATTATTCATATGACCGTAATAGCCATATATTGTAAAACAATTGCACTGTGAAATAAATGAACATTTTTTTTTTTTCAGGTATATTATTTTACCTTACTCTACAGTAGGGAAATTGCAATACTTTTGTCCTAATTTCTTCACTTGCAAGCAGGGCCTAAAACTAAATTCACATCTGCCAGTGGCTGATGACTTCAGAAAATTTACCGGCCATAAATATTTTTCCTTGCCATGAAACTGTTTTTGCAAAAAATGGGCAGTTGCTACTACTACAACAACTAAACATATTTAATACAAAAAAAAAAAAGCCATTTGAAATTAGAACCAACCACTGCATTTTAATCACGATACAAACAAACATGCAAAGATAAAACCTGCATGAAACAAAAACAGACAGGCTGAATGAGAACGCAAATTCACTCTCTGACAACAGGTGGCGCTTATGGATCAACAATGATAAGAGGGGAAAAATGCCATCAAAACTTTTGTGAAGTCAGTTCCCTTCAGAAATACATTCATATAAACCCCCACCCCAATATTTATATTGTTCTTCCCAACAGTGAGCTTGCTGTGCCTGTACAGTATTTTCTCTGTGTGCATCTGTTAATTTTAGGCCATGCTTGCAAGAGACAAACCCTTGAGCTTTTATTTTGGCGGAAAACTCCAGCTTCTGTGAAAACAGGTTTACAAACATTACTAATTTAATGAAATACTGTAAACATTTGACCATTAAAATATTGAAAATTATGCAAATGTGCAAATTATGCATAACTGGTGGCCGTTGCGTTCCCAAACGCGCGCTAAACTTACAGCACATTCAGTAACGGAGTTCACTGGATTCACTGTGAACTGAGCCGCTCTGAGACGCGGATAACGAGCTGATCGCGTACGCAATGTGCGCACTCTGAAACAAGCAGCGCAAACAGACTTGATAAGTCATATTATTCGTTTGACGGATACTTGCCAAAGCAATGGCGTGAAACACAAAACGTTAAAAAACAGTTATGTTATATGAGAGGTATAAATATATCTTCGTTTTGTTATGAAACTGTGGCGGGCCGCCACAGTCTAGTTAATGAATGGGAAACACTGATCAATGGAATATTTCCTTTGCACAGAAGGTTTTAATAGTGGTTTATTAAAAAAATTGTTCACACTAAGAACAGTTATTCTTTTAAGAATGGTTTACTACTTTAGGGAACCAAAAAATGGTTCTTCTTCATTGCTACAAGAACTCTCTTTTGGAACCTTTATTTTTAAAGGTAAAGAAATGCAGGTGAAGGGTGTTCATGGCACATTTTCCCATTCCTGGAAAAATAAATGTGTGTTTCAGTATGATTAGCTTTTACTCTGCGCTCCCTAAGGGACAAAAGTCCTTCCAGTCCTGTTTTCCAGGATTCACTCTGGCAGACCGGCACCTTTGTCTCATCTAGTGTAATTTTCTTTAGTCAGTTCCAATCACAATCTCATTCTGCCCAGATGAATCGAAGCAGACAGGGCCATTGTAAAGAGAGAGGACTGGAAGGGGGGCTTTCAATTAACCAGCATCTTTCCCAGTCCAGATCGTGCGGTATTACTCTGGTCGCTCTATACAGTACGACAGACAAAGACATTGTACCCGGTGGGTGTAGAATTGGGAACGATGCCATATCGTAGATTGAAGTCGCTTGACATCTCTGCCTTATCTTATCCGCGCTCTCTGTGGAGATGCTTCAGTTTAGCTGTGTGGAAAGATGAAATGGCTCCGGTCAGGATTCAATTAATGATTTGAGTAAAACAGGCTTATGATTTTGTGGAGGAGATCCTATAAAGCTAGGTGATGCAAAATGGGCTGCAAACCTCGTTATTTATATCTGTCCTTTATTCTGCAAAACAAATCTGTTTAGATGAAAAATGCAAATGGAATACAAGTCAACATGAAATGTGTTTGCAACCCAATTTCATATATATAATGCAGCACTGGTGCAAAACCAAACATGTTTTATTGTTGGAATTACACGTACAGATGATTCATGCTTTTGAAGCTCTGTGACCATTAGCATTATTAAAATTGATTGTAGCTGACTGGCTGCAGGTTGATTTCAAAGATTTATGTTATTTAAAATTTTTGATTAGCACAACATAATGGCTATCTGTTTCCAAGAACATAGATTTTAATATAAAATGTTTCCGTGGAAACAATCTGCGGTGTTTATAAAATGACTTGTATATCTGACATTCACCAAATGCACTTAAATAGCATCTGCGAAACATAA